TTTTTTTTTTTTTTTAAATCTTTTATTTAGAGATAGGTTCTCACTTAGGGCCTCACTTTTGCTGAGGCTGGCTTTGAACCCACCATCCTCCTGCTATAATCCCCACCAGCCTCCCGAGCTGCTGGGATTATAGGTATGTGCCACCAAGCCTGGCTCTTGTGCAATCTTAATAACAATTCTGTACATATACTCTGTGACTTTTATTCCTGCAACACACATGTTGGAGAAACATCTAAATCCTGCACCCTACTCTGTGTACCCTCAGAAGAGCATCTGGACTAACAAAGGTCAGGAAATGCATTTTCTAGTAGACGGCCTGGAAATGGGAAGAACCAGCCTTGAAGAAAGTGTGAAGTCCTTCAGGTGCAAACAAGCTTGCTTGCTGGCTATTGGGAGCACAGCAAATGGAAGAAGGGGGTGCTCATGATAAGGTTGGAGAGAGGGACAGGGCTTAAACTTGCAGGCTTCTGTGTCTGCATAAGGATTAACAATGGGAGACGACTGGAGAGTTATAGCAAAAGAGTAATATTGTCTGATGCACTTCATAAAGTGATCAAAGTGGCTGCTATTCGGCAGGGAGATGTTAGAAGAATAAGAATGGAAATAGGGCACCGACTAGGAGTCCAGTGAAATGATTCAGGAGTGATGCAAGAGGGTGGGGCTGCTCCAGGGAGTAGCAATGGAGCTGGTGAGAAATGGTCAGCTGCATTTTCAAGGCAGACCCAGCAGTATTGGTTAGTAGGTAAGATATAATGACTGAGAGGAAAAACAGAGATGACAACTGTCTTTGTCTAACAAAACACCTGGACTGGATTATTTATAGAGACTGGATTATTTATAATGAACAGGAATTAATTGGTGACCCTGGAGGCTGGGAGGTCCAAGGGCATGGCACCAGCATCTGGTTGACATCTAGGAAGGGCCCTCTTGCTGCATCACAACATGGCACAGGACATGTCAGACAGAGTGAGCAGGTTGGCTTGGGTCTCCCCTATTCTTCTTTTTTTTTTAATACCTTTATTTTATTTTATTTATTTATTTTTATGTGGTGCTGAGGATCGAACCCAGGGCCTTGCATGTGCTAGGTGAGTGCTGTACCACTGAGCCCCAGCCACAGCTCCTTTCCTACTCTTCTTCTATAAAGCCTTAATGACATCACAGGAGCCCCCATGCTCATGACTTCATCTAACCCTAACTACCTTCCAAAGACCCCACCTCCAAAAATCATTCACATGAATTTAAGGATTAAGTCTTTGAATTTTTTGAGAGACATTCAAGTCATAGCAAAAAAAAAAAAATCTAGACCCCCACCTCGCAAAGTGACTGCATCGTTTGTGAGTTAAACTGTGTTGTTAGGATGAGGTGATACTGTGTGGGGTGGAACTTCAATTCAGCATGATTCACATCCTTATAAGAAGCAGCAAGAAATACAGAGAACACCAACAAAAATGGAGTAGCACAGAAGAAGACAACAGCCATAGAACAACACAGGCAGAGTCTGGAGAGGTGCATCCACAAGCCAAGGAA